ATAATAATAATAATAATAATAATAGATATTTATCTATTATTATTTACTCCTGATATTATTATTTCTATGGACAACGATGACAATCCGTACAGTGTCTGACGGGAGAGAATGCGCATGCGTGATGGGTCATCACGGGTCTTACAGCGCAGGAAGAATCCATGATGCCCGACATAATATAAATCAATTCATCATCGATAGGGCATCGTAGACACGATATTATTGATATATATTAGTACATGATAATCGCTCATATTTATATACACATTGTATATAAACATTATGTTGTACGCATACATATATTGGCTCCCCGCTTCGTTTCATTCCATATGTATAACTGTCAAACCCCGAATCTGGTTGACACTTATTAGTATAAAGCCATACAAACTATGGCCGCTATTGTCTATAAATGATTTGACAAACCAAAATAACAAAACACAAAATAAGCTTTTAATTTAATATTCTTTTCGGAAATGATTTAAGGATTACTCTCATCTTGAAATGACAGCTAAATCACATTACATTGCAGTATTTTGATACATTTTTGTATCTACCCTTATAACGAATAGAGCCTATTATATCATTTTAAATTTGCATATTTACTTACAACTGCCAACTTGAATGAAGCAACGCTGCGTATCGAATGGATAACTTCGTAAGTCCATTTGACAAGCGAAAGTGGAGGTAATTCTACAAAATCACGAGAAAACCTCGTTGGTTGTACACTTCGTATGAAATATCCGCTTCGCACACGCAGAAATTCGTCAAGTGTAATTGCGGTATAATCCGCGCTAACTCTGTAACAGCAAACAGTTTTGACAGCGCATACACCGCCTGCTAACGTCAGTGTAACTATACATTAACTTGCTACTAAACGTGTAGAAAAAAACATTTTATTGCACCTCCGTGTCGGGATACGCATATTAGCGCATGAATAAATGATTGCAATTAATTAACTAATGCCGGCGTGTGTACGCACTGGCCCTCACGTACCTGATGGTATACAATACAGTTCCATTCGGATAGAACCACAGTAATATGTTTGGTCGAGTAACCGTATGCGTCGCCGCCCACTTGGAGTTCGCCATGAACAGATCTGACCTCCAAATCCGATCTACAAGGTCGGACGTGCCGACGACGTAGTCGCGGTCAGCGTCCGGCAGCGAGGTGAATTTTAGCCGAGGGTCAAGCCAGCGTTGTCTGACCACTAGGTCCGTGTCGTACTCCTGCGCGGAAGAACATGCTGTTTGCAGATAATACGATGTGTGTGTGTGTGTGCAGTTGTTTCCCCAAAGAATCCGAATCAGCCAGTTTCGGCCTTGTTCCGCGCTGCGCGGCCCGGGCTTAAAATTAACTCGACAATATGCCCATGTTCTGCGCTGAAAGTTATGCTCCTGCTCCCTTGTTCCCTAAAAACCCATGGAGGGGGCTCTTGTTGTCCGAAGTGTGCGTCTTACTCTGACGCAGCTTAATTTGAGGGGGCAGCAGTAGTTGGCATCAGCTGTCGTGTTGTGGACAAGAAGCTGCGCCTGTTCTGTCTGCAATAAGCATTATTCATGCCTCACAATGGAGGCGCAAACATTGATATAAATATGTGTCCCACGGGGATGCGATGTAATATAAAATATAATATTTGCTAAGCATTGAATAAAAGAGGCGATTAGTCGGAAAATTTAAATGGTGTAAATATGGGAGGTAGTGTTATTAAATGGAACATCGACGAGTGTGCGCGCGTGCATTGGCCCTGTAGTGTGTGTTGCGTGCGGCATGATGCATGTGTGTGTGTGTGTGTGTGTGTGTGTGTGTGTGTGTGTGTGTGTGTGTGTCAGCTGTGTCGTGTGTGGCGTGCGTCGTGCCGGTGTGTGTGTGTGTGGTTGTGTGGTCGTTGTGTGTGTGTGTGTTGTGTGTGTGTGTGTGTGTGTGTGCGGCGCGGCGTGTGTATGTGTGGTGTGTGTGTGTGTGTGGTGTGTGTGTGTGTGTGTGTGTGTGTGTGGTATGTGTGTGTATTGTCTGTGTGTGTGTGTGTGTGTGTGTGTGTGTGTCGTGTGTGTGTGTGTGTGGTGTGTTGGGTGTGTGTGTGTGTGTGTGTGTGTGTGTGTGTGGGCATGTGTGTGTGTGTGTGGGTGTGTGTGTGTGTTGT